CTTCTGCCCATGCTCTCCCTGCACCCCAATAATGCAACTGCTGCAGCCCTGCACCCCGCAGCCCCCTGCACTCCCAGCCACGGTGCCCTGCCTGCCCTCAGCTTCACCCCGTACCCCCGTACCATGGTACCCCTGCGGCTCTGCCTGCGGGATCCTGCTCTCCCCACAGCTGCATCCCAGCTACAGTGCCCCTGCACCCCACTGTGCCCCYTTCCTGCACCCCAGCCATGGTACTGCTATACCCCACCTGTGCCCCTTTGCACCCCCAGCCACAGTGCCCCTGCACCCTTAACCACGGTCCCACTGCACCCTTCACAGCCTCTCTGCACGTCCTGCTCTCATATCCCTCAGTGTTCCCCTTCACCCCTCCTGCTGTACCCCCATGTGCCCCTAAGTCCCCCCACACCCTCCTGCTCCTCCAGCCACCCAGCACTCCTCAAGCAACTCCCACAGTAGTCTGTCACCCTAATGTGACCCCCCAGTCCCTCTGTCCTCAATCTCCCTTCACCACCCCCGTTTTCACGCACTCCCAGAACCTTTCCTTGCAGCTCTCCTGCACCCCCTAGCCGGGCAGCGTTCTCCCTTCCCTACTGCAGCCCCTTACCAGCATCCTGCCTTCCCTGCCTGCACTCCCCAGTATCCCCCCAAACCTCTAATCCCTGGCTAATTCCAACTACCATGCCCCCTACCCGACATACCCTCTAACCCTTTACCCTTCTTGATACTCTCCCACCTAGTTGCCCCCCTTTCCTCCCAGCTAGTCCTTGCCTGGATCTTGTCCCTTGCCTGTTCCTGCCCCTGGCGCTGYGTTTGGGGCAGGAACCTGTGCTTTTGGGGAAAAATGACAGGAGGGTATGGGGGGGCACACCCCATCCTGCCCTGTGCCCAAGTGGGGGGGATTTCTCCCATGGTGGCAGTGTCCCAGGAGTCGCATGGGGGAGACCTTTGCCCCATCTCCCTTYGGTTTCTGTGACGACGGAGCGTGCYGGCGGACTTTGGAGGGGCCGGTGGGTGATTAACCACCTTGCCGCTCTTGCCCCAGAGCTTTGCAGCCCCGCTCCCAGACATGGCACCTGGGAAGCCTGGGAAGGGCACGGGGGCCTCGGAGAACCCCTCRGTGACGCTTTTCCGAGAGTACCTGAGGATTGACACCGTCCACCCCAAGCCTGACTATGGTGAGGATGGGGGGACAGGATGGGGAGCCACGTGGGGATCTGGCAATKCGGCTTTGCAGCTCTGGTCTTTGGACCCAGGTGCCCAATTGCTGTGCTGGGGCTGTTTTGATCATGGTGTTAACGAGCAAACTCCTTTGTGCCTTATCTCTGCTGGTGCCTTTGGCTGGGGCAGGGACATCTCAAGTGCACTCAGAGCTGCTGTTTGCTTCCTCCAGCCCCGTACCCCTTGCTCCCGTTTCCACGCTGCCCTGGTTCTGGGATGGGTGATCTCCTTCCATGTAGATCTCCTTCTATGAGCACTTACGTCTTCCCACTAAACTACATTTTATTGGTGTACTTACTAAGGCGCTCCCAAACTCCTCCTGAATTCACCCCCTCAATTTTAATTTTTTTATTTCCCAAATCCTTACCCCGAAGGGACAGTGATGGGCTGCTCCTGTCCCTGCTCCTGGCCACCTCTTGTATCCAGGACCTACAGCACCTGCCCTCTCTTGTCATCTCTTTTCTAGTTTGGGAACCCCACAGAGCCTCGGGGTCCCTGGGGGGTTGCAATGGGAGGGAAGGGAGACCCCAATGTAACTCTGGGCCTCCCCACTCTTCCCCAGATGCAGCCGTACGGTTTCTGGAGCGTGTTGGCACCGACCTGGGCTTGGCCTGCCAAAAAGTGGAGGTGAGCAAGCCAAGGAGCAGCCTCCGGTCTGCCCACCCATCCATCCTTTCATCCAGCGTGCTTGGGTCCTTAGTGACCRGGATGTTCCTGTGCCTGCACCCAGAGCTGGACAGGAGTGAATCCCCTGTGCCTGTAATCCTCTGCTGACCTGAGCCCTTCCTTAAGCCAGTATTCTGGCTGCTCCCYGCTGACCTTTGCAGCTGCCTGTGCTATGATTAGCTGGGGACCTGGCAGGGTCATGTTGGCTGGGGCAATCCTTCCTGCTGGGCACTGGCTGTCCTGGGACACTCCCAGGCACCAGGGGAAGATGCTGGCTTTGTCTTCCCTCCTTTGAATTGCAGGATTGGCACCTGCAGCTGAGCTCCCTGGCTGTGGGGGTTCAGCCAGGCCTGCTCCTGCTGCCTGCCCCCTCCCAGTGGAGAAAGGGGTGACCGACTGGATGGYATCCAGAAACTTTTCCCAAGATGATGCTTTTTGGCTCCAGCCTGCTGGTTCAAGCCTTTCTGTCCCAATCTGGACCCGGTGACCTCCTGCCTTTGTCCCACAGGTGTGCCAGGGCCGCGTGGTGCTGGTCCTGACCTGGCAGGGCACAAACCCCCGCCTGCGCTCCATCCTCCTCAACTCCCACACCGACGTCGTGCCCGTCTTCGAGGTGCTGGGGCAGGGCGAGGGTTGGGATGGGCATGGAGGGGAGGACGGGGTGGATGGATGCTGGTGCCCCCTGTGCCCCTCTGCCATCGTGGATGCTCTTCTGTGCAGGAGCACTGGACCTACCCGCCCTTCGAGGCAGTTAAAGACTCGCAAGGCAACATCTACGCACGGGGTGCCCAGGATATGAAATGCGTCTCCATCCAGTGAGTGAGGGGCTCTGCACTCTCTGGGTGGGCACAGTGCTGGTGGTGTCTCTGAGTGATGCAGGACAGGATGCCACCCACTCCAAGTGCCAGAGGTGCCACTGCTTGACCTGCCCTGAGGTAGCTCAGAGCACACAGGCCCCTCTCRTCCACAATGACCAGACACTGCCTCCCCTTGCAGGTACCTTGAGGCCATCCGGAGGCTGAAGACAGAGGGGAAGTCTTTTGCCCGTACCATCCACCTCACCTTTGTGCCTGGTGAGTCCTCAGGCTGTTCTCTCTCGGAGGCACAGACAGGCTTGGCAGCTGGGTGGTGCTCTGGAGTCTCCTGTGGCAGCCAGGCACCGCCCAGCCGGGCTCCAGATTTCCRCCTCCTGTGCTCAAGGCTGGAGAGGTTTCCATGACCGAGGACATCGGGTGTGCTGATGGCACCCAGGCTGGCATGAAGGAGGACCAGGGTGGGGTGGTCTGGGGGATGCCCCAGTTGCCTCCTCCATGCCAGGCTCTCCCCCACAGATGAGGAGGTGGGCGGACACAAGGGCATGGAGATGTTCGTGAAGCGCCCCGAGTTCAAAGCACTCAACGTGGGCTTTGCCATGGATGAGGGTGAGTGGTGGTGGGGCTGGCACAGGGATGTGTCTCCTCTTGGCACCCACCCTGCTGCCTGTTGGCATCGTCCCGCAGGCACTGGCATCCCTCATGCTTCCAGGGACTGCCTTGGGGGCCCTTTCCCGGGGCAGTGACCCACTCGGTGCCAGTCTGGAGGGGACGTGCAGCCAGGACACAGCAGAGGGGGCACATCATGGCACCCCCATACCCCCCTGACCTCCTGTCTGTGTCCACCACAGGCCTGGCCAGCCCGTCGGACACCTTCAGTGTCTTCTATGGCGAGAGGAGCCCATGGTGTGAGTATCTGTGTATCCACTGGTTCTGGCCCTGTCCCTGGCTCTCCTGGGCGCTGGGGCACTGATGCTATCCGAGGCTTTCTGCTCAACCCTTTGCTCTACCCCTCCTGCTGCAGGGATAAAGGTGAAGTGCATGGGTAGCCCCGGCCATGGGTCCCGCTTCATCAGCAACACGGCAGCTGAGAAGATGGTAAGAGAGGGGGCACACCCTGTGCASCCCCCGGGCCTGCCCTGGGCTGCCTGGAGCCTGCCCATAGCACTGGTGCTCAGCCTCTGCCCTTCCCTCCCCAGCACAAAGTCATCAACTCCTTCCTGGCCTTCAGGGAGAGCGAGAAGCAGAGGTAGGAGCTGGGCAGAGGGATGGCAGTGGTTAGTTCAGTCCGTGAAGGGGGTCCTTGGGATCCCTGGCCAGGCTGTGATGTGGGTCTGCTGGCCTGTGCCTCAGTTTCTCCTTTTTGGGTGATGGTGGGGTGGGAGAGCACTTCTTCTCAGGTGGCAGATAGTGACTCTCCCTTGTATCCCCCGAGGCTCAAGTCGGACTCAAGCCTGACCCTAGGGGATGTCACCTCTCTCAACATGACCATGCTGGAGGGGGGTGTCTCCTTCAAYGTGGTGCCCTCCGAGATGGCCGCCAGCTTCGACATCCGCATCCCGCCCACCGTGGACCTGAAGGTGGGCACCATGCCAGCCCCAYGCAGGAGGGGGGTGGGATGAGGGTGAGGATGTCCTGCTCACACCCCTCCTCTGGTCTCTGCCCCAGGCCTTCGAGGAGCAGGTGGCCACGTGGTGCCGCAGTGCCGGCGATGGTGTCACCTATGAGTTTCACCAGGTGAGGGATCCCAGCCACCTGGGCACATTGTGCCTGTCCCTCCCCTGCCAGGTGCCCACCCCCTTGCCCCTTCATCTGCTCTCTTCTTCTGTCAGAAATGCATGGACCAACACATCACCTCCACCGAGGAGTCGGACCCGTGGTGGAAGGCCTTCAGTGGGGTCTGTAGGGACATGTGAGTAGTGTCCCCAGGAAGGGCAGGACTCCGGTGGCAGCCACGTGGTCCCTGGGGGTCTCTGTCATGTCAGGGGCTGGGATGGGGAGCTGTGCTGTGCCAAAGCATGTCCCAAAAGGGATGGGATTAGTGTCCTGCAGGGCAGAGGGACTTCCTTGCACGATGTCCTTGCCCACGGGTGTGAGGGGCACAGGGGACTCAGCTGGCCCCGTGCCCACGCTGACACAGGGTCTYGCTCGACAGGAAGATGCAGCTCAAGCTGGAGATCTTCCCTGCTGCCACCGACAGCCGCTACATCCGAGCRGTGAGTGCCATGCCAGCCCTCCGCAGGGCCCTCCCCTGGCTCAGACCTGCAGCCCCAAGCAGGAGCCATGTCCGGGTGGAGAGGGGCGTGTGGTGCCCGTGCCAGCTCTGACCTCACCCTGTGCCCCTCTGTCCCCAGGCGGGACACCCTGCTATTGGCTTTTCGCCCATGAACCGCACCCCGGTGCTGCTCCACGACCACAACGAGTTCCTGAACGAGCAAGTCTTCCTGCGGGGCATCGAGATCTACGCCCGCCTCCTGAGCGCCCTGGCCTCAGTGCCCCCTCTGCCTGCTGAGGGCTGAGTGCCCGGCCAGGGGCAGGACAGGGGTGCCAAGCAGAGATACCCGAGGCTTTCCAAAGAGGAGCAGGGGCTGGGCACAGCAAATGCCTGCCAGCATGCTGGGGATGCAGATGGCATCATGCCACGTTGGCAGTGTTCAGGGCTGGCCTGCTGGTGACGCCCTGGGGTTTGTGTCCCCCTTGGCCAGGTGCCAGCAGAGCCTCGTGCCCAGGTGCCTCCAGCCTTTCCTGGTGTTGTCAGTGCCTCTCCCTGTCCCTGTGCCATCTCTGGCTGCACTGGTCGGGTGGTGAGGGGCTGGCCAGTGCCCTGCTCTGCCTGCCCATGCCTTGTCCTGCCTCCCTGCCCGCTTGCTGGGGGAGCTGGGGCCAGTGCCACCCACCCTCCCCATGCAAGTCAATAAATCCTTGGTAAGCACAGCCTGGAGTGGGGTGGTCTGTGTGTCTGTGTGTCTGTGTGTCCATGATGGTGCTGCCTGCACCCCAGATTTCCTCGCACAGTGCAGTTTGCTGTGGTGCTTCCTCCTCCCCTGGGCTCATTGCCTGGGGACAGCAGTGTGAACAAGATCCTGCCCGGGCAGGCTGAGCAGCCTCTGCTCCTGATCTGCCTCRGGGGACTGGAGCTGAGCTTTATCCCGCTCCGTCCCTCCCTCTCTCACTCCTGCAGACCCTCTGGTCGGGGCAGGCAGTGTGCGGGTCTGGGCAGGCAGCTCCACTAATCTGCCAGAATTGCCATCAGCCACATCTCCAACGTGCTCATTCCCAGCCCTGTGTGCCGGGGTGCTGGATCCGTCCCAGCCGTGCTGTTCCTTGGGGAAACCAAGGGCTCACAGTGCGAACTGTGGTGGTTTTACACTGCTCAGGGAACTCGCAGAGCTGCTCTATTATAAAAGGTTGGGGTAAGCCAGGGCTCTCCAGCTTCCTGACCTCTGTTTTAATTAAGAAATGTCCAGGAACCCTTGTGGGTTGGGGATAGTGAGGCTGACCTGTGCTGGTCTGGGAGAAGGGATGAGGCTGGTGGCCATGGAGCACTGAGGGAGAAGGCACCAGCTCCTCCGCACTTTCCCCTCCATCCAGTGCAGGGGGAAATCCAAGGTTTTTTGGGTGGGGGACACACCTGCCAGTGCGTGTGTGCTGAGGCTCCCAGGGGAAGCTGGTGTGGATTCTCTCATGTCTCATACAACCACATCCCCGGGTCCCACAGCCCTGGGGGAAGATGGCATGGGATTGGTGTGAATACCATGGGGTTCTTGGTGGCCAGGATCCCTGCCCAGGGCGTTGGCACCTTTGCAGGCAGACAGCGGTGCATCCCCTGCCCCTGTGCCCGCCGCGACCCTGCTCAGTCCCCTTTGTCAACTGGCCTGCTGTCCCCAGCTTGCCTKGCTTGAGATGGGACCTGACAGCTGTGTGCTGCTTGCTGGTGCTTGGACGTCACAGCACGCTGAGCATCCTTCTCKGGGGACAGCTCTGTCTGCCCTCTCCTACTCCTCCAGGGACCCCAGCTTCCCTCCCGTGCTCCCCATTCCCAGGGATGAGCCAGAGGTGCTGGCAGGGCCACTTCTTGGGACGAGAATTGCAGTAAAGTCTAAAGCGCTGCTGGCAGGGGACGCTTTGGAGGTGTGCGGAGTTCTCGGGGTACCCCCGGGAGATGGGGCCATCCCCCCGCGCATCCCCGCCGCCCAGGAATGGGGTATGGCGGGGCCGGGCCGGGGCGGGCCGGGGCGGGCCGGGGGCGGTCGGATGTCGGCCCCATAAAACTCGGTGCCACCGGCGGCCGCGGGCGCGGCTGCGGGATGCGGGCGGCAGTGGCGGTGTCGCTGTCGCTGTGCTGGCTCTGGGCGGCGGGGCACAGCCTGCCCCGGCTCCGCCTGTCCTACCGCGGTGAGCCGGGCCGGGGGCACCTGCTGCGGGGCGGGGGGCTCTGTCCAGGGAGGGGTGTCCTGGGGGTTCCCCTCCGGGGCCGGGTGGGGTCTGAGAGCCTCAGCGGCGGGCGCTGCGCCCGGAGCTTTTTGGTGCTTTGGTGGGCAGGTTGTGCGGGGCTGGGTTGGGCTGGGGGTTCGGTGGGTGGGGGCTGCCCGGCACCCTCCGCTCCGCATGCGGGACGCGGCCCCCGAGGAGGAGGAGGAAGGGGGAGCCGGGTGACGGCGAGAGGGCATGTGCCGCCGGGCTGTGAGCCAGCCCCGCCGCTTCCCACCGGGGATCGTCTCCCACGTGGAGTGCGGGGAAACTGAGGCACGGCGTTGTTCTGGCCCCGTGCGTGGGGTGGGTGCTGCGGTGTTTGGTGGTCCCCGGCGCGGTGGGTGCTCAGCATCCTGCTCTCGGCYGRGTGGGAGTCCCCGGGCTGCGCCCTCCGAGCCCCGCCGCGCCGGGGTGCGGGTGCTGAGGTGCCGGGGCCCCTCGGGGAGCTGCGGGGGCAGTGCTTGGTTTTAATTAAAACTCTCCTTGGGATCCTGCTTTGGCTCGCCGCATCCCCCGCTCTGCCAACCTAATCCATGGGCTGCTCCCGCCAAACCTGACAGAGCCTGGGGCGCCCCAATCTCCTCCTGGCCTCAAAGCAATGAACCTGCTCAAAAAAGTTTAACATAAAATAAATTGCATAATGCGTGTAAGCATAGAAAGGGGCAGCCCAGCACTTCCAGAGTCCCGGGAGCCGCAGTGCCAGGGGAAAGGCTGCTCCTGTTCTGCCAGGGTTGGGGTGCCCAGGGCTCTGTCCTGGGGCACAGCAGGTGACTCCAGGGGCTGCCTCCCAGTTGAACGGGAAGCGGGAAAACGGGAAAGTGTCCCCCCCCCATCCTTGGAACCCGGGATGGCTCCTGACTCTGCCCCGTGATGCAATCGGGTGTTCTCAGGCTGGGCTTGGCAGCAGGGCAAGGAGGTTTGGGGGCTCGGCAGGGGCGAATCGTGGGGCTCAGGGTCTGGCTCAGTGTCTGATCCTCTCCAGCACAAAGTCCAGCCGTGCGGGGCCGTTGCTCAGGTGCGAGGAGCTGCCCGGGGCGGGGTGGAATCTCCTCAGCCTCCCACGGGGTGTGAGCCGCCTTTGGAAGCTTTTTTTTTTTTTTTTTTTTTTTTTTTTTTTTTTTTTTTTTTTTTTTTTTTTTTTTTTTTTTTTTTTTTTAAGCTGATTATTCTGTTCGTCTTCCAAATTGGAAACAGAAACTGAAATTTCCCATGAAACAAATGCAGCCACCGCCTTCTCCCCGAGGGAAGGAAAAGAAAAAGAGAAAATTTCAATTAAAGCCATTAGAGCCTGTGAAATTAAAACCGTGGTGAGCTGGAGCTGTTTGTGCAGAGCTCCTCGAYCTGGGCTCTGCGTGGCTGGTGGCTCTGGCTGTGAGGTGACATTTGGGGGTGACAGGGACGGGTGTTGTACTGGGGGTGGCCAGGTACCCAGCTCTCCCTCATAACTTCAAGCCACTCTTCTCTTTTGATTTGCAAGCTGTGTAAGAGGGGACAGAGTTTTGCTGCAGAAACATTGCAGCACARCCCTGTGCTCCCTGTCGCTCCCGGGGAACCCCCACACTTGGGGATGGCTCCCGTGGGAACCCCTCTGTGGTAAAWGTGTCCAGGGATGGATGGATGGGGCATGGAAGGGGCTGTTCCCTGGGGAGCTGCAGAGGAAGGCGCCCTAAACCGGTGTAACCCGAGGCGCAGCAGGAATTTGCCAGGTCTGGGGGAGAAGGGAAGCCTTGCCTGAAACAATAAAAGGAGCACGGCGACTTCGCCAGTGTTATTCTGAGCTGGGAAAAATATTATTGCTGGGCAAGAATAGAAGGAGACGACAGCGTTTTCCTGGGCTGGACCCGGCGATACAGGAGGACCTGAGATGCTGGAGGGACGGGGAGGAGGGTGGAGGGGCCAGCAGCGCCTGGAGCCAGCTCTGCCTGCAGGAGCAGTGCTCTTCCCGATGTGGATGGGGCTGCTGGGCTGTACCCCTCTGTGCCACGGACATCACCACTTAGGGCACTGGGACTGCCTTTGAGCAGTGTGATGGGGTGAAGGTGTCTGTGTCCYCTGCTGGGGATGGACCCTGTCTCCCTTGCAGGCCCTAGAAGAGGCATTTCCCACAGGACAGGGCATTGTGTCACTGGTCACCTCACTGGAGGTGACAAATGTCCCCYAGCAGGAGCACCCCAGTGTCCTGACCTGTGGCAGCTGCGCTTGTCCCAGCGCCACCTCCCCTCCCTGGGGTTGTGTGGGGGAATGCTGGGGCTGGGGTTTCCCTGGGGTCAGCAGCAGTGCCTGGCAGYCCCCCAGGCTGGAGGGTGTCTGGGGACAGTGCTGTGCTCATCAATGGCGCTTTGTCCTCCTCCTCCTTCTCTGTCTGGCAGTCACAGTGGCCTGGCCTGGGGTCAGSGTAGGTTTTCAGAGCCCCATGAAGCTGAGCCGTTTGCTCTGGCCCTCTCCCTCTGGCAKCTGTGGCAGATATGTGAGCACGACCATGCCAGCTTGCTGATCCTGAAAGTAATTTCCCACTGGAAACCAGTCGAGCCACTGCCYCTGTGTCATTGTCACTGTGAGGGTCCCCTTGGCATCCCCCAAGATTCAGGCTTGGACCTGTTCTGGGTGCTTTGACTGTCAGACACTGTTGCTTTGGGATGGGATGTCCATCCCAGGGATGCAGTGCCCTCATGCCAGTGCCTCTCCTCCCTGTGCCATGGAGGAGGCGTCCCAGTCAGTGAGCTSTGGTGGCAATGGCAGCAGCAGGCTTTGTGTGGCAGTTTCCCCATGGCACTGGCTGGGTGCCTGCTATTGTGTCCCTGGCTGCTTTCCACCCACCCCGTGTCCGGTCTCACCCCATCCCCGCTCTGGCTGAGCTCTGGGGCTGATGGCACAGCCRCTCCCACCCAGGAGCCTGARGTGCTTTGGCCAAACCTTGCTRGGGTGGCAGCCTTGCCTAGGACCCYGCTCCTGTTGGCTCTGCAGCTTTGTCCTTGGCTGGCAGGGAGAGCAGCTCTCCAGCCAGGCTGGGGCTGGGATGTCCGTGCCTCCAGGAAGGGATGGGGACAGATGCTGCTGTCCAGAGGGCTCCAGGACAACTCCAGGATACCCAGAGGCAGCACTCAGAGGAGCTCTTGGGGCTGGGATGGCTCCTGCTGATGCTTTCATCTCTCCCTGGCAGAGCTTTTAGGCTCCAACCGCTCYGTCCCCTTCTTTGGTCACCGTGGCTTCCTGGGTCTCCGCTCCCTCTACCTGGATGAGTATCGTGACCGGCTCTTCATCGGGGGGAAGGATGTGCTCTACTCCCTGCTCCTGGACRGGGCCAACGCAGACACCAAGGAGGTAAGCTGGGTCCTGCTGAACACCCCGGGGTCTGTGTCCCCATCCTGGGCCCCTGGGGACCCGTCAGTGTCCATGTGAGCCAGGCAAAGTCACCCTGGAACAACACCTGCCTTGGGGATGGCCTCATCTCAAGTGCCTCAAAATTGTTCTGAAAACTTGTAGTGCCTGGCAAGGGCAGGCTGGCTTGGTGGCTGGAGGGCAATTAGCTGGCAATTAGTCACAATCACCAGCCCAGGACACTAGTGGTGCAGCCAGGATACTGAGCAGTGTTTTGGACCCCATTCTTCTAAAAAACTGCCACTGGGGGAGTGAATGCTGCCCATCCCCATCTGGGCATCCCCTTCACAGGCCAAATACTCAGCTGAAAGCCTGCAGAGACAAGGAGCTGAAGGGACCCATCATTGCAGCAAATTGTTCAGGGTTCAGCTGGCAAAGCCCCCAGACCTSTCCTGGTTCCTTGGTGGGAGAGATGATGGAGCAGAGTGATCGTGCTGGGTGGGGCTCCCCTCCTCTTTCACCCTCTCCACTTGGAGTTTTTGTTTCTCAAGCACGGCTCTGGGCTGCTTCTAGCTGGAGAAAGAGCAGGAGGAAATGAAGTGCCCCTTGGCGTGCTGGGTCACTGCCATGGGGTCAAGGGCTTGTGTACCCAAGCTGCCCTGGGTGAAGGCTGTGGCGGACAAGGACTCCATCACTCCTGCTGTCCCCTGGGCACCCCTACCCCAGGCCACCCACACGCCCCTCCCCCTCCCAGGCCAGCTCCAGCCATGCCCAGCATGACCACCCAAATCCAGCCCAGCCAGGGGCTGTGACTGCTGGGGTTATGTCCCCAAGAGGAAGGGTCCTGCCTGGGATTGCAGGGTGGGAGCCCTGGGCTGGGCTGGCTCTGGAGAGCTGTGGTCCCTCTCTSTGTCCCTCTCTCCATCCCCTTGCCCTCAGCAGCCTGGTGACATCACCAGGATTTGCATGGCTGAGTCCCTGCTGTCCCACCTCACTGCTCCAACAGTCCCTTTGTGTTGCAGATCTATTGGCCACCCCGCCCTGGGCAGACGGAGGAGTGTTTTCGGAAGGGGAAGGACCCCGGGGTGAGTCTCTCTCCCCATGTGTGTTCTGCTCTCCCCTTGTGCCAGAGAGCTCCCCTGCCATGTCACCTGCCAGGGATGGCTCCTGGGGCTCGGGCCAGTCAATCGTGGTGCATGAGGGAAACTGAGGCAGGGAGTCAGTGGCCAATCCTGGCCATGCAAGAGGCTCGCTCCAGGCTCTGGAAATGCTCTCTCCGTGGCTCTGCTCAGCTGCATGGCCGCAGAGCAGTGGCCAGTGTGTSCCTGCATGAGTGGGCAGGGATAGCTGAGCTCTGGGACCTGAGCTTGGAGGCACCAAAACCCCAATTCTGTGCTCCAGACCCCAGCCTGGCCCATCTTGACTGTCCCTGATGGTGGGAACTCTCTAACTGGCTCAGGTTTGGTGACCTTGTTCCCTAAACCTCACCCCTCTTCGCATTCCCTGCCCCGAAATGAAACAGGACTGTGGCGGGGAGAAAGTCCCCAAGGCTCCCCTGGCCCAGACAAATTGCTCCCAGGAGTCCCTGCTCTGCTCTCTGTGTTTATTTTACCAGCTCTCACCGACAGATCCAAGCCAGGGCAGGCTCAACTTTTTTATTTTTCTTGAACATGTTTTTTTTTTTTACTTGCTATTTTAGAGGCTCTTTGCAAAGGGAAAATAAACAGCAGGAGGCTGGGAACCCCCGGGGCGGCTCGGCAGCGGTGTTCCCAGCAGATGAGGGGCCTCGCATCCCGCCGTGGAGGGGACAATGGAGGGCAGGCAGGGCTGGTGCTGRCCGGGGGAGCTGCCAAGCTCATGGTGGAGAAAGATGGGAGCCCTTTTCCAGCAGGAACTGCCAGGAGAGAATGTGGGAAGTCAGAGAGGTGGCAGGTCTCCAGCCCTGGGGGTGTCACTGCTGCTGTCCCCCAGAGAAAGGGACAATTCCAGACAGCAGTGAGCAGGGCTATTCTGGAGGCAGCCCAGGATGCCTGTGGGTCTCTGTCTCTGTCTCTGTCTCTGCTGTTTCCTCCTTTTGTTTCATCCCTGGCGTGAGCAGGAACATGACAGGGAAGGATGTCCCTGCATCTGGTCACGTCCTGGGTGCCAGGGGTTTGGGGCAGGGTCTGGAGCTTGCTGGGCAGGTGACATTGCCCCCCTGGCTGGCATGGGCTGTGTGACCGGGTGAGTCACATGGTGCCCATGGACAGGAGGTGCCCAGGTGCCAGCTGGAACCCAAGTGGTTTCCTTGGGATGCTCTTGGCAGCAGGAGGATCAGCAAAAAGCTCTGTCCTGCAGTGAGTTGGGGACCCCTCAGATGGAGCCCATGCAAGCCCTGTGTGTGGGCACGAGCTGCCAGCCCCGATCCCTGGCACTGGGCTGGAGGCAGAGAGCTGGGCTGCAGTCCAGGGAGCCAGGGCTGGGGCTCACCCACTGTCCTGTCCTGGGACCCCAGGCAGGGGCAGGGAGCTGGGGATGGGCAGGGCACAGCACCCTGTGACCCTCCCTCTGCCCTGCTGTCCCCCCAGACCGACTGTGCCAACTAYGTCCGAGTGCTGCACCCCTACAACCGGACACACCTGCTGGCCTGTGGGACGGGCGCCTTCCACCCCGTGTGCACCTTCGTCTACGTGGGGCACCGTGGCGAGGTAGGGCAGTGCTGTGGTGGGTGCCCACCCTGAACATCCCCGGCAGGACACCCCTGGAATGGTGATCCCCATGGCCAGCCTGTCCCCTGAGGGGCCTTGGGACTGGTGGAGATGCTGGAGGTGGAGTTTGCTGTATCCTGAGCACTGGTGGGGGGAGCATCAGGAACCAGGTCCCTGTTGTCCCTTTGTCTTTCTGCTACCCCCTCCCCAGCTTTCCACCTGTCTGGCCTGGCATCCCCTTTACAGACGTGTCCCCAGGGACTGATATCCTGACAGGGGGTGCGGTGTGGGTGGCATTTTCTCCTCTCCCAACTCACTGCTCACAAATTGGTGCTGGGGAGGAGTGGCAGGGTCCCCTGTTCCCTCCTCACAGCCTGGCCCTCTCTGGGGCAAACAGTGGGGCTGGTGGGTCCCTTCACCTGCTGCACACCCCCATAGCATCAGTCTTGCCTCACAAAGTGTGGATCCTGCTTCCTGATGGTCCTTCCAGTGCTCTGAGTGWGGTGCAAGTTGGGCAGGGACAGAGCTGGCCCCTGTGAGCCCGGGCACAGCCCAGGACTCACCCCCTGCTCCTCTCCCCAGCACACCTTCAGCCTGGACCCCACCAGCRTGGAGAGCGGCCGGGGCAGGTGCCCGCACGAGCCCAGCCGTGCCTTCGCCAGCATCCTCATCGGTGGGTGTCTTCCTCAGGGTCTGGGAGCCTCTGGGGTGTGGGCCACGAATGGTCTGTGCCAGGCAGCTGGTGTTTTTGCAGGTGGAGAGCTGTATGCCGGCCTYACCGCAGATTTCCTGGGACGCGATCCCGGGGTGTTCCGCAGCATGGGGACACGCTCCGCCCTGCGYACAGAGGTGGACCAGCGCTTACTCAACGGTAACAGCTCCCTCTGCCCCTCCATCGCCCCAGAAGGGCTAATGCCAGGGACCACAAGCCMTGTGGTAGCTGGAGCATCTGTGGCCATGGTGCAGCATGCCCTGTGCCAGCTATGAGCAGGGAAAGGCACGGGGCAGCAAGGTCTGGGGGTACATCCAGCCCCAGCAYGGTATGGGGGTCTGGAGATAGTGGCTGTGCTCTCTCTCCCCACCTGACATGGCTGGCTCTCGCTTGTAGATCCCAAATTTGTGGCAGCCCACTTGATCCCGGACAATGATGACCGGGACAATGACAAAGCCTACTTCTTCTTCACGGAGAAGGTGGTGGAGGCAGACAGCAAGGAGCACRCCATTGTCAGCCGCGTGGGGCGTGTCTGCGTGGTAAGATGCTGCTGGGGATTGTGGGGGACAGGGATGCACCGAGTCACAGCAGTGCCCTGATGCTCCCTGTCCCTGCAGAATGACGCTGGTGGCCAGAGRGTGCTGGTCAACAAGTGGAGTACCTTCAACAAAGCCCGGCTTGTGTGCTCCGTCCCCGGCCCTGATGGCATCGATACCTACTTTGATGAGCTGGGTAAGGGGGGCATGGAGCTGTACCTCAGCTGGGCTAGTCCCTTAGCTGATGGCTTTGGGAAACCCTTGGGATTCCAGGAAAATCCCCATGCTTTCATCTCCAGAGGATGTCTTCTTGCTGAGGACGAAGGATGGGAAGAGCCCRGAGATCTATGCCCTCTTCAGCACCGTCAGGTGGGTGGTCCAGCTCCAGCCTCTGGGGACACCCAGCTGCAGCTGCCCGTGCCCTGCCCTGTCACTGTCACCAAGGGTTGCCAGCTGCTCCCCTGCTCTGTGTGGGGTTATCAGTGCTCCCACTGCCAGCAGCACCAAGCAGGGCGCTGCTCATCCCATTTTCCGTCCCCTTTCAGCCATGTTTTCCGGGGTTCTGCCGTCTGTGTGTACCGCATGGCTGACATCCGGGAGGTTTTCAACGGGCCCTTCGCCCACCGGGAGAGCCCCCAGCACCAGTGGGGTGCCTACGAGGGCAGGGTGCCCTACCCACGGCCGGGCGTGGTGAGTGACTCCCTGCAGCTCCAGGTCCCTTCCACTTCACCAGCTGCTCTTCTGGGGTGGTGGTGTTGGGGACATTCCCCATCGTCTCACCTGCTGGAGAGGTCAGCTGGTGGTTTGCCAAAATCTGGCAAAGGAGAGGAAAGATGGATTCCAAAGTGGAAGGCAGGGAGGGACCCAAGCCAGCTCTGAGAGGCGATGGAGGGGAAGGAGAGATGGGTGCTGGGGTGGCTGTGCTGAGCTGGTCCCTCTCGTCCCCGCAGTGTCCCAGCAAGACCACGAACCAGCCGCGGCGGCAGTACAGCAGCACCAAGGATTTCCCCGACGAGGTGCTGCACTTTGCCCGTGCTCACCCCCTCATGTACAARCCCGTGTACCCCCGGCACCGCCGGCCCCTCCTCGTCAAGACTGACCTGCCCCAGCGGCTGCGCCAGCTCGTGGTGGACAGGGTGGAGGCTGAGGATGGGCCACACGATGTCCTCTTCCTYGGGACAGGTGAGCAGAGTGCAGGAGGAGTCCCTGAACTGGGGGCACACCCCTGGGCTGTGGGATGGCAGGGAGCTCACTCCTCCATCCTCCTCGGTCCCCAGATGCCGGCTCRGTGCTGAAGGTGGTGGTCCTGCAGAAGACAAGCTCAGCCCCAGCTGAAGAAGTCATCCTGGAGGAGCTGCAGGTTTTTAAGGTGGTATTTACTGCMCCACTTGCAAGGGAGGGGGCAGTGGGTGGGCTCAGGCTGGGATCACATATGGGTGTGGAGGCTCAGGGCTGTCACTGCATTGTTGGGCACTAGAAGGTCTCAGGGCTGTGAGGGTGGCTGGGGGTATTTTTACCCTCCCCAAAACACTCCTGGTGTTCTGCCAAGCCCTGGTGGCTCTGAATGAGCCGGGCTGTCTGTGGTGAGGATTATGCCAGCCTGACATCCACTCCCCTCCCCTGCAGATGCCCGTGCCCATCACCCAGATGGAGATCTCCGTCAAGCGTGTGAGTACAGCTGTGGCTCAGCCGTGGAGCTGGGGACAGGGCAGGTGACCAGCTGTGGTCACCAGCCTCTCAAAGCCATGTGGCACTGGCCCTGGGGTGTCCTGGCTGGGCCCCTGGGCACGGTGCCAACAGCACAACCTTGATGCTGTTCCCCCAGCAAACGCTGTACGTGGGCTCCAGCCTGGGGGTGGCCCAGGTACGGCTGCACCGGTGCGAGTCCTACGGCACGGCTTGTGCCGAGTGCTGCCTGGCCAGGGATCCCTACTGYGCCTGGGAYGGCACCGCCTGCACCCAYGAGCAGCCCTCGGGCAAGCGCCGCCATCGCCGCCAGGACGCTCGCCACAGCAACCCTGCGCACCAGTGCCTGGACCAGAACCTGACCGGTGAGAGACTGTGGGGCCACAGAGCTCAGGGGCTCCTCCAGGGCCCCAAAATGTCCTGGCACCCACAGCCCTCAGCACACAGAGGCACTTCTGACCATTGTGGGTGGGCTGGGCAGATAAGGGTATCTCCCCATCTCAGACCAAGGCATGCCCAGGAGAGGGTGGGTGCTGCTGGGGCTGGGTCTGTCTGCTGGGAGAGAAGGGGATGAAGCCACACGGTGGCCAATTGAGGCTGACAGCTGGGCTCTGGAATCCTGGCTCTGCCTTCCCTGTGAGCCTGTGCCTGTCTCTGCCCCAGTGGACGATTTTGAGAGTGTTGAGGAGAAGGTGCTTTACGGGGCAGAGGACAACAGCACGTTCCTGGAGTGCGTGCCACGGTCCCCGCAGGCCAGCGTGCAGTGGTTTGTGCAGAGGCCCCCTGACGAGCAGCGGGATGAGGTGAGGAGMCCCTACCCCCGCTCCCCTTGTGGGGACACGGGAGGGATGTGGGACCAGACCCGGACCCACAACCTTGCGGTGGCCCACAGGTGAAGACGGACGAGCGGATCCTGCAGACGGAGCACGGGCTGCTGTTCCGCAAGCTGCACCGGCACGACGCCGGCATCTACTACTGCAAAACGCTGGAGCACGGCTTCACCCAGACCGTGGCCAAGACAGTGCTGGAGGTGATTCCCGGAGAGCAGCTGGCACACAGCTTCCCCCGGGGCCGGGGGGATGATCTCCCGCACCTGCTGTGCCCCGAGCCCCGGCTGGCCCCACAGCCTCCCAAAACCTGGTTCAAGGACATCATGCACCTCATCAGCTCCCAAAACCCACGGCGCGTGGAGGAGTACTGTGCCCGCCTCTGGTGCAGCAGCCGCCCCCAGCACCGCAAGAGCAAACTGGCCCAGGCCAAGCTGCTGCTGGCYGGCGTGGACGTGGCCAAGAAGGGCCGGCCGGCCAGAGCCCACAGTGAGAGGAACCGCGTGCCCCGGCAAGCACCGGCCACCTAGAGAGGGGAGAGCGATGGCGTGGGGTGGCTGTGGACCAGTGCCAGCTCCCCGTGCTGCTGGTGGCCCCRGGGCCTCCTGCCCTCGTGGGTGGCTTGCAGTGCTGCCAGCCCGGTCCCCCTGGCCRGAGTGGATGGGCAGGTCCCTGTCACCCACGGTGGCTGCAGGGTCACCTCCCAAAAGGGCAGTTTGGCCCCCCTTGCTCTTGCAGGTGCTCTGGCAGCTGGGGGCCGTGGTCCCTGGCTGGGTTGGGGCATGGCAGTGCGGTGCCACCCAGGCTGTGCTGTCACCCAGGTGCTGGCTGGATCCCTCAGTGAACAATGGGGTGACTGTGGTGYCGGGGGGAGCGGCTGATGGCTCCAGGCTCTTTCCACAGCAGCACAGAGCYTGGGGAAGGTGATGCCTGCTCTTAYGGGGGGAAAAYCAGCATYATCCCAAAAAGCCCCTGTGTCCAGGAGGAGCCCTGTCACCCGCTGARCGTGGGGAGCTGGAGCTCTGTGCCACCCAGGGCAATGCCCTAGGGGACAGAGCCCCTTCCTGCCTTCCCTTGGCACTGGGATCTGCTCAGCAGTGCCAGTCTGTGTCTGGGTGCAGCTTCCCACTCCCCCCTGTTCCCCCCCACAGCCACAGTTTTAGGGCTGGACAGGGTTGGGGAGAAAAGCAAACGGCTGCGGGCAGGTTAGACCTGTTCCTGGGTAAACACTGGGAGAGGCACCAATGCCAYCACTGTCACTGTGCCCAGGTGGGAGCAGGGACAGGCACGAGGCAGCCCCAGCACAGTTTGGGGGGCTGCASCACAGCYGAGGTGGTTTCTGCTGGCTGGTGTYCCTGCAGGGCTGGGTGGGAYGTGGCTGGTTTGGGTGGGCTCCTGCYGCTGATGGAGCTAAACCAGCACCCAGGGCCTCCCCCAAATGCAGGGCTCGGGGGTAGGTGCATGGARGGCACCTCCAGCATCCCAGCAAGGTGTTCCTCGCTTTCCTCMCCCGAATGAGCTCACTCCTGGTCAGCCCGGGGTGATAAAGATCAGCCCCACACAATGGTGTGAACCGCGGCCCCGCAGGGACGGGCATTGTTCAGAGCTGGAGGAACGGGAAAGAAAAATAATAATAATAATAATAATTAAAGGCCTTAAATAGCTCACACAAAGCCAGGCTGTGATATCATCTCTCCTGCCTGTGTGTGTTTGTGCTGCAGCAGCGGCTCCCCGGGAGCAAAGTCCCACAGCAGCACTGCCTTATCCCATGGAGATGGGCTGGGGGTGCTGGCCCCCTTCTCCAGCTCCCTGTCCCACCTTCCTGCACACTGTGAGTGTCTCCTGAGATGGCAGAGCTGTGCTGGGGCTGGCAGGCTGGGACACGGCCTGCAGGGAGGGGAACGGTGCAGGTAGCACGGATTGACGGGAGCCAAGCACGAGGATTTGGATAAATGCAGGCCCAGGGGGCACAGGAGAGCGACAGCCAACAAGCAGAGACAAGGAGGGAGCTGGGTGAAAAGACAGAAATGAGAGACAGGAGTCTGATTGCCCAGGGCGTGGATTAAACAGCTCTGCAGGGGCTGCACCCACACCCTTCTGTCTCCGAGTGACCCCTGCGCTCCACAGAGCAGGGGCTGGGCTGGGCTGGGCTGGGCTGGGCTGGGCTGGGCTGGGCTGGGCTGCCCATTTTGGGGGAGCAGCAAGAGGGGTCCTGAGGGCTCTGCGGTGTGTGGGACCCAGCCCTGGGGTCAATGTGAGAGGCCAGAGGCTCCTCAGATTGAGCAGGAATACAGATCAGAATCAAATTGCCCCAAAGGATCTAATCCCTGCTCCCAGTAAATCTKTGGGATGGCTGAGCCCACCCTTCCTGGGTACATTTACCACTCAGGCTGGGGCAGGAGGGATTTTGTCAGGGCTGCACACAGYGTTCTGCAGCCTTCCAGCCTCATCTCTGGTGATCACCAGCCAACTGAGGCAGCTGTGTTCCTAGAARTTCCAGGGGCTGAACCACCATGAACACACCCTCGTGCACCCTGGGGATGGAAGGAGACCATCCCTAGGCAGACCCAGTGGGTCTGTGTAGAGGGGAACGAGCCCTCCCCGGTTTGGTGCTGTCCCAGGGGCAGGGTGGGGTGAGGGGGGTGCTGGGGGCCGGGTGTRTGTGGGAACGGCTGCAGAACAAAGCAGGGCAGGGGGACAGGCACAGCCGCCGTGCTGCTCCTATTTTTATCCCATTTCCTAAGGAAGTGCGGCGCAGGGTGCACGCTCACCCTGGGAACCTCCCAGGCGGGGAAAGTGGAGYTGTGGGCCAGGACAGCATCACCAGCAGCTCTCACACCTCAACACACCATCACAGGATCAGTCAGGCTGGAGGAGACCCCTGGAAGAGTCCAATCTATAACCCAACACCACCACGTCAGCAGACCACATGCAGCCTTTCCTTCAGCACCTCCAGGGACRGTGACTCCACATCTCCCTGGGCAGCCCATTCCAMWGTCTRATCACCCCTTCTKKKRARRAAWTKKWAWTWAAGKYCMAMSTGAACCTGCCCTGGCGCAGTTTAAGGCTATATCCTCTCATGAGCACTCGGCGTGGGGTCCGTCCAAGAGGCTTTGATGTTCCAAATTCACTCTCAGCAGTGAAGTGTCACAGTAAGCACATCCTCCTTGAAGGCACAGGGGCAGAACTAAAAAAGGATTCAAGCATTACCATTTTTAGAGAACTACAGGCATAAAGTTCATGAACATGTGCCATTAGCTCAATTCCCCAGACAATAAAGGGAAGTAGCAGCATGCACTGAGGATAGGGAGAGAGGAGAGGGTGGAAATCAGCCACAAGAAAACACAGAGGGCCGAGATGTTACAAACCCTATTGTTTTAGGKGCAATAAAGTCTAGACATCCATCCTTCCTGTGCACTCTATGCAGAAAGAAGCCCACATCGGCATTTACTAGGAGCAGTTGATACATATAGTCTATATCAAAGTGATAAGGTGCTTATGAGGCCTATTAATTGAAAACTTTCTACAGCCTTTTTATATGTTATCAATATAAAAATGTAATAACTTTTTCTATATTATTAAAATACAATGTAATCACTATCAATATATTATCAATGATAACTTACATATATATTGCTATAAGTTTTTTAATAGTGTATTAGCAACATGTAGTATACTAGCTGCACGTAATCCAACCAGCTGGATTAGTACATAGATATGTGAAATCAGCAAGGGGCATAAATCAGAAAAGTTCTGAAGAAAGTAGACAGGTAGATGCTATAAACAAGGAACAGTAGAGAGCACTAATGAAAAATTAGTAGAAGCACGAGACAATCAGCAAAATAATTGGAAATTACGACTTGGAGGACCAGAAAAAACCATGAACGTCACCACTGCGCATGCCCTGAAGACAAAGGGGAGAAGTCCACCGTGATGAAGAGGATGGAATCTCATTAGAGGTAGAGCCCTGCGACCACCGAATTGAGGATAACACCAGCACACTTGTAAAACTGTGATATCGTGTAATTCCATGCCCATATAGAGTAGTGGGTGTATGGTGGGCGTATGGGGGGCGTAGTGACAATGTTCATGTTACACCATGCTTACTGTATAAATATGTGCTAGTTTGAAGCAAAGGCAGGTGGGTTAGGAGGGGAAATCCCCCTCACCTCCAGCCCTGCAATAAACAAATACCTGCTCTATAGAGTTTTATTTCTCATCCTTTTCAAGCACCGCAGTTCCCCACAGACCCCGCCCCGCCCACGTGGCTGCGCCGGGCCCGTGTCGCGCGCGTGACGTCACGGAGCGGCGGTGACGCACATGGGAGCGCGACGGCGGCCCCCTCAGTCGGGGCTGGACATGGCGGCGCGGCCCGGCCCGCGGGAAGATGAATAAGGGCTGGCTGGAGCTGGAGAGCGATCCTGGTGAGCGGGGGCACGGCACTGCGGCGGGGGCAGGCCTGGGCGCGGGCCGAGGCACGGGGCGGGGCGGCGAGGGGACTCTGAGGGATACCCGGGGAGCGGGGCCTGGGCTGGGGAACGGGTCAGGGAGACTCCAGGGGCCGGCTGGGGGTGTGGGGTGCACGGGTGGAGTTTTGGGGGGTGGGATGTGTGGTGCATAGGTAGAGTTGTGGGGAGGGGCTGGGGGTGGAAGGTGTACCGGTAAAGTTTGGGGGCTGCGGATATGGTGTGTACAGGTGAAGTTTTGGGGGTGTAGGGTGTACAAATGGAGTATTGGAGGGAGTAGGGTGTACAGGTGAAGTTTGGGGTGTGAGATGTGGGGTGCGGGAGGGCGGCAAAGATGCTGAAGAGCCGGGCATAGAGAAACTGTGAGCAGGCGGGTCACAGGCGTTCCCTTCGTGCTGCCTGGAAGGTGCATTCGGTGCTGGAGTCCCGGAGTTGTGTCCGAGGTTGGGATTTGAGAGCCAAAGCTGGTGTCGGCTGGGGCATTGTCCCAATGTTGTTTTAACCGTGTGAATCGCTGTAGGGTGGAATGGGGTGGTCCTGTGGGAGGCTGGGAGCTGCTCTCTAGGATGGGGTGGTGAGTTTTGGACGCTRTGGGTGAGGAAATTGGACCTCTGGAATTACACTTGTCTGCTGCACTCAGCACAGCGTTCTGTCTGCTGTTGGTGTCCCAGTCACCCCCAGTTTTGCTGCTCTTTATCCTCTTTACTTGGGAAATGCTGAAATAATTTCCATCGTGTCCTTCATCATGGCAGAAAATCCCAGGACGTGGTTTGGATTCCCACAGCTGGGAGGGAAGGTTGTTTGCTTGGGAGATAATCTGGGCAGGGGCAGGTTTTGTTGGTGGCAGTTGGGATGCAGGGGTGGCAGATGGGACAGATCTTAGGAGTGTACTGCTCTCAGCTTTCACCTCATCCCATGAATTGAGTATCTTCTCACTGCTTCTTGCCTTGGGGTTTGGGATGGAATTTCTGGGTGCTTTACTGGTCAGGAAGGGTTGGTRGATCCAGGTTTGGGCTGGCTGCTGGGCTGGGTGGGGAGGAGAGCTTTGGGAACATCCAGGCWGCTGCCATGGTGTTATGTGTGCATGGGGACACCAGAATGTGTCCCAGCCAACCCATACAAATTGGGATGGGTGTTTGAGTGTTCCAGGAGAGGTGTCAGCAGCAGGACTGTGCCTTTTGAGGATGGTGAGGTAATACAAAATACTGATATATATATATATATATATATATATGTATATATAACTGAAAAAAGTGGGGTTGGAAGGGACCAGGAAGGTGCTGTGGTTTGGTGCAATAGCCTGGCACAATGAACAGGCTCCCACTTGTTTGAAGCATGTTATTTCCACAGCGTATTTCTTCTCACTGGCAATTTTGTAAGAAATACAATGTTTTCTGCTAAATTAAAGAAGACTTTTGCTCCCAGGAGTTCCCTCACTGTTTTAATCATTTTAACTTTGGTGTGGAAGCCCCTTGGGCTCTTCTAAATGGAGCCACATGCATCCGGGTCCTTAAATCCATTGCTTACAGGGATGTTTCTCAGGATTTAATCCTTCTTATTGGTATTCCCTGGCCTTCCTTGCAGGCTTTCAGCAGCCTTTATAAGGGAGCTAAAAAAGCAGATTTGTTATTCCAGTCTCGAACTYGCTAACTCCACGTGCAGAGTGACTGCCTGAAAATTGGGCTGACTGCCTTTGCTTCAGYATCAGAATGGCAACTGCTGCTCATTGCTGATGTCTGACAATCCTTGTTTTCTTGCTGGTTATGTCCTCCTGAGTTTTGTMATCACTGGAGACAGACTGCTGGATTTGGTTTCCCCGAAGAGCCTTTCAACCCTTGGACTTCCTCACAGCCCTGTTGTTGTGATCTGGATTTTCCCTC